AATTGAATTTTAAATGACTCGATTTAAATTTTGCATTTAAATATCAATGATATTTTTTGACTTCTGAATAGAATAAAAATTAAAAATATATATTCTTCAAGTATTATAACAAATTCGATTAATTAATTATTTTTAAGCATTTATAGGATTTATTTTAAAATTACAATTATAAATAGGAATAAATATTTAGTGTTAATAAAAAAATAAAAAAATAATAAACTAGTAAAACATTTTTATAATAATATTAACAATAAAACTGGATAATAAAAGATAAGTTGAAACGTTTATATTAAATTGTTATTAAAGGATTATATGTGTGTGTGTACATTCTGTAAAACTCCAATTAAATCCCTAGTTTTGTGTGTAACTAAAGTGAAAATCATTTGAAGAAAAGGAAAGAAAGTTTTCTGGTAAATTTACTTGGATTATATCTACCCTATTTCTGTTCTAGTGAAAAAAAAATCCCTTTTTTCTCGAGCACTTCGATAACTGCTTTTTCCATATAAAAATGTTGAAAGGAAAGGAAAATCTGTCGTAGAAATCGATATCACGTTCTCGTGGATAATTTTCCTTGGAACATTGTGTTCCTGGGGGTTGGTTCTCTCTCTCTCTCTCTCTCTTTCTCTCTTTCTCTCTCTCTTATGCATTATGTGTTAAAAAGAAATAGAAAACACAGAGAGAACATAGAAAATGGTAAGAAACGTTCGACAAAATGTTCTTCGGATTCTAACGGTACCTACGTAAGCAGGATAAAATTGAGTGCGTTGAAAATGAAGTCTACGCAAAGGAAATGAGAAAAGAAAAAAGAAAAAAGAAAAAGGAAAAAAAAAGAAAAAAGAGAAGAGAAGAAAGGTAAAAGGTATCTTCTTTCTCTCTTTCTCTTTTTTATTTTTCCTTTTTTTTGCTATTTTATTTTTTTTATTTTTTTTTTTTTTATTTAATATCGATTCAATCTAGACTACGGATTTTAACAAGAAGCTCGTTAAGAAAACGAGCACGTTTTTAGTTTAATAGAAATTTCGTTGGTCAGTTTTGTGGATAGGGTAGGGTAGGGTAGGGTAGGTTTGGTTAGTTTGGTTCACGTTCTATTTTAATAGAAAAAAGCAAGTAAGTAAAGAAGAAAGAAAGAAAAAATCTATTTTTTTTTTTTACACGATTGTATGTACTGTTTTTAATGTAATATTTTCTTTCGATCAAATGTATTCGATTATTTGTGATTGAAGTTGTTGAATAATTAATCGTGACATTGTTTTATTTTTTATTTTTAATTTTGTTTCATCCCTTTTTTAATTCGAATTTATCATTATTATTATATTTTTTTTTCAAATAAGAAAAATCATGGTATAATTTGATATGATTTTTTGTTCTACATATAATCGATAATTGATATATTACAATAATTAGGAACATTCTATCCGCTGATATCGGATACTTATGAATATTATTTAACCATTTCGATTATGTAGATATCACGTTTAACATTCTTTTTTCTTCATTCTTGCCCGCAAATAAATCCGATTTATCGATAATTTTCTTTTTAAATATTGAAATTAATTTTTTTTCCTTTTCTTTTTTTTCTACGGACATTTATTAAATTGAAATATGATATTAATTCAACCTGTCGTATATACTCGTTGAGTTTTTAATAATTCAAATATGTTATAAGCGATATTCTGTAAGAAAAAAAAAAAAATAAGAAAAAAAAAAACCAAACACGCTGTTAAAAGAATTCAGAAGGAAATAAAAGAAAAAAAAAAAAGAGAAAAGAAAAAACAACAAAAATAAAAAGTGTCGATAATAAATGTATTCCCAGAACGACAACAAAAAATATGAAATAATTTTCATGTGTAAGAGAAAAAAAAAGAACCAAAATAACAAACCACTGTTAAAAATATTTAGAAGGAAATAAAAAAAAAAAAAAAAACCACAAAAAAGTATAACAAAAGTGTTGATAATAAATGTATTCCCAGAACAACAAAATAGATATAAAATAATTTTCATATGTGTTTCTTTTTGTCAATCAACAAAAAATCGAAAAAATTTCAAAAAATAATCACCCCCTTTTTTTTTAACGAAGTTAGTAAATGGGTGTGTGGGTTGGTTTTTTAATTAGGTATCCTTTCGACGTGTTATAATATAACAGTAACGAAATAGTCGAATCAAAAGATAAGAGAAAGAGAAAGAGAAAGAGAAAGAGAAAGAGAAAGAGAAAGAGAAAGAGAAAGAGAAAGAGAAAGAGAAAGAGAAAGAGAAAGAGAAAGNAAGAGAAAGAGAAAGAGAAAGAGAAAGAGAAAGAGAAAGAGAAAGAGAAAGAGAAAGAGAAAGAGAAAGAGAGAAAGATGAACGGAATTAATTAATAAAACGGATTAAAAATCGATATGCCAGTAGTATGGGTTTTATCATTCGTAAATATTTCCTTCTTGACTTAGCGGCTGAGTTCTACTACTACTACTACTATTACTGCCTACAACTACTACACAACTACTACAACTACTACTACACACAAATCCTCGTCGCACTACTGCATTTTGATGTAACCGCGACAGCAGTTATGCGTTATCAACGCTTCCCAATATTGGAATATGGAAATATGGAAATACGGAATACGGCTCACGTGTACGAAACGTTCCCTGTATTTGCCAGTAACCCCAACCACCCCCTTCCCTTCCTCCTCCACCACCACCTCCACCTCCTTCTGTCCCATCCCCTTTCCTTTTCCTCCTTCTATCAAACCACATTCGCATACATACTCCAAAGTCTTTGCACTGAGATGAAATCGCGATTAAACTTCAATGCATGCGTGTACATACGGATTAAGATATCTGAAGATATATAGATATATGTATGTGTGTGGATAAGTTTAAATAATTTCAGTTAGAGTAGATATATATCTAATACGAGTGTGTGTATATATGTGTATATCATTCATATCGTAATTTATATTTTAACAGATTGCATTTAAAGCTCAGTGATGTTCTATTTGCACAACGTGCTTTTTAATACTCGCAATATTTTAAGCGTATATTAAAAAAGCTTATTTTAACGTGATCCAACACTTGAAAAAAAAAAAAGTACTTTCTTTTTTCTTTTCTTTTATTTAATATATACTTTTTAAATATTATTGTATTATTGTATATTCATTTAATCAAATGGTTTAATTATGTTCAAATAATATTTGGTCAGATCATTAATGAATACGATAAAAATCATTTGTTAACATTGATTACAAATTGACATATTGTATATTTATTGATTCTTTTATTATTTCGAAATTTTTGAAATTATTTAACGAAATGATTTTTATTTTTTATCTGATTTGAAGAAGATTGCAAAAGAAGTTAGAAAATGAATTATCGATTTTATCATTTGTAAATATGTTTTCAAGTTTTCTCTCTCAAAGAAGAAGAAGAAGAAGAAATTCATTTTATCTTAAGAATATTTATTTATTTATTAGTATTTGCGTAAAAAATGATACTAAGGTAATAGAAAATCTATGCACTTACAGTTGTTCGCAACATGATTTACGTATTGGTATGGGTTACATTCGAATAAACGTGCTAGGTCATGAACGTGACATCAGTTTATAGATGCATAAAGAAACGCATGTTCGTAGAATTCGAAGTAAGATATTTTACATTAGATAATCTTTGAATATTTTATCGAATAAGAACATTTCTAATGTGTCCTCTTTTTTATTTTTTTTTTATTTCATAACAAAAATACCTACTCTTAAAATAATCAAATAAAATAAACATATATGAAATATTTTCTCTTTATTATTTATTATTACATATTGAAAATAAATGAAATCAATTAAATCCAATGAATTATTTATTGTACTTATAATATCTAATTTATGATAATAAAATCGATAATTAAATGTCTACGTCTAATTTTGTCAAATTAACTGAAATTGTACGATTATACCTTTGCATACTCGTTTCTATATCAAGAATCGATTATTGTTATTATTATTACTATTATTATTATTATTATTATTATAATCATTGTTCTATCGACAACTTTGTCAAGTTAGAATATAAATTCGCAAGGATACGAAATTTTCCGAATTGTTAGATATTTTATTAAATTTCTATTGATTTTTCAAAGAGATGTGATAAATTCATTTGAAATAAAAACAAAAGGAAAAAATTCCTAACTCATATTATTAAAGGAGAATCAAAAGGGGGTTGAGGGGAATGGGTAATAACGAATTATACTAAAATATACATAAATGAATTCTGCGAATTCCATATTCTTTCTTCATTCTTCTTGATAATAAAAGAAAATAATAAAAATAAAATAAAAAAATAGAGAATAATTTATCGAACATTTTATTCGATAATAAATGGAAATGAAAATCAGCAGAAAACCCGTGTGCTACGATGCGTTTTAAAGGAACAATAATATTTCGTATCATAATGAACCAGAAAAATGATCGTTTATTGTACTACTTTGGCTTTTATTGAAACAAAAAAAAAACAAAAAATTATACATTTTCTTATTTTTGCAATATTAATTAAAATTTGACCAAAATAATTAAATCTTAAAAGTTATCCCATCCTAAAATAATTAAAGCAATAACAAAAGTTGCCCATATTCTGAATAAAAAATATATGGTATTTTGTTTTCTTATAAAATACGAATATATTTCCATGTTTATGGTATTTCTTTTCATTAAATTTATAAAACCGTGCATATTCTTCACATTTTTTTTTTTCATTTGGTTTTAAACATTACACTGTAATATAACTGTACGTATATCTGTGTATGTGTATTATTTATGAATGTAATACATATTACTACTTCATAGTAGTACTGGACTCGTTTTAATGGCGTTAGCTGGAACGAACCCTTTTGATGTGGTATAACCGAGTTAACCTTTTACATTGGTCATATATATTCTAACCTTTTCCTACCAATTTATGTTGATTTTTTATATAATATGGTAGTATTACTACTAGTAGTAGAAGGTTTAATTAGGATGTGCAATTACTTACGTCATCAACTTCCCATCCATCTTTTTGCCAAAAGTAACAACTGACAAATGCTGCAGCAACTACTGCCAATGGTCCAGCACCTCCAAGTTCAATAGCCTCACTTCCAAAAACCGCAACCATTCCACCCCCTAATAGCATCAATACTCTTAGTGGAACCATAAAGGGCTGTAACCAGTTTAATCAAAGGAATCAATTAATTTTAATATTCGAGATAGTTTCTATATATTAAATATACATATGACTTGCTTTCTGAAGGAAGATTCTATTTTTATTTAATCAGTTTTAATACTTCTATACATTTCATTYATTTATTTATTTATTATTATTATTATCTGATAATTATTTTATTTATTATTTAAATTGATATTAATTTTGGCTGATTGTAAATTGTTTTTGTATTTGTAGTTAAATTTTATTACACTTGATATTATTCATTTTATTCATTTAATTGAATAATAATAATAATTATTATTATTATTTAAGTTAGTAGTAAACTGTGTTTAGCTTTTGTTAAAGACTAGTCATTTGATTTGTTATATATGATATACATAAATAATGGTAGGTTTAACGTAAACAATCTCACGATTGATGGTTTCAAGGTAGAACTGCGAGCATGGTATTTAATTTTCACTAATTTATAACCGAGTATGGCAAAATTATACTATTTAATTGGATGTGAAGTATAACGAATGTTCTTTCATCTTGTCATACCTTTTTAATCATATGTTATTTTAATTCAAAATAATATTTATGAATTATCCTTTTTTTGGTTGATCATCATAATTTGAACGACATTACCAATAAACTGTGCTACGTTTTTTTTTCTTTTTTTTTTTTAAAGTTCGTATGATAATAATAATAAAAATAAAAATCAGGGAGGGTAGAAAAAGAGATATAAAAAAGAAAAGAAAAGATTGTCGGGTTATTTGAAAGTCAATATTCTTGTAGATAAGTTAGGACGTAATAAAATCCGTAGGACGTAGGACAAACCACGTCGACGTATCCGTGGCACACGATGGACGCTGTTAATAGGTACTTACAGGGCGTCGCTTCTCATAAGCTCGTTGTCGCACAGGAGGAAATGGATAGCAAGCTTGCGTACCATGTATACGATGTATACATATATATATATAACTATGAAAAGGGTAGTAGGGATCGGGGTTGAGAGGGGGTTGGGTACTTGGATAGGAGATAGAGTGGGGAGAGGGTGGCTGGTAAAAGGGGTGGGATGAAGTTGACGAGAGGTGGAAAAGGGCTGGTTGGGTGGTAACGTACTACCTTTGCGTATACGGTTCATATATACTCACACACACACATACACATGAGAAGATGGTTTGGATCGATGACGAGCTCGAGAAACTTTGAAATACGTGGATGTGTGTGTGTGTGTGTGTATATATATAAAAGGGAAAGACACGAGCAAACACACACCACTATTCCCAACCAGTTCTATCTAGCCTACCGTGAAATATGAATGAAGAGAAAATTTTCTTTTCTATTTCTTTTCTTTTCTTTCTTTCTATATATATATATATATACGGTATAATACTTACACGCGATACACCCCTTTCCACCATTCCTCTTTCCTATCATAGTTCTTAGATATTTCTTTTTTCTTTTGCACAACTATTTCGTGTTCTTATTTCTTTTTCCTTTTTCTGACGTTTTATCTACTGATAGTTATATTTTCATACGTTTCTTTTCTTGTTTTTCCGTATATTATATATAGATATTATATACGGGCTTGTTGTATCCCATTATGGAAACTTGTTGCTAAATAATGCTTATCTATAATTACTGTAAAGTTTTTTTTTTATTTTGTATTATAAATTATTCATTGTTTTCTTTCTTTTTTTGAAAGAGGGTGAGTAGACAAATTATTATTTATATTCTAACGATAAAATACAGCGAACTTCTTTCATTTTTTTTTGTTTTTTTTTTTTTATAATACAACAAGGTTTAACTATTATTATTATTATTATTATTATTATCATATCAAATTTATTTGAATTATCATGAAAATATTAACATTAAAAAACAAATCATTTAATCAACCATTCAACGTTATTTTGTTTAAACAACCTATGATTAATATATTTAAATTTGTAATATAACTATAATAATTCAAACTAATTGGTCGTTTATATTTACGATTGTAATACAATATTATTTTTGTTTGAAAATAATAACATCAAAGTAAAATAAGATTTTTGTTATTTAAATTAAAGGAGTACATTTATAAACGTAACTCGCATACGAGCTTAATACTTTTCTTTATTTCGTCCTATGTTTTATACGTTTGTGTATATATATATATATAGGTTGACAAGAAACAAAGGGTAGGATTTTAAAGGGTTGTAAGCTTTCTCAAAGGAATCGAATCTTTCTTCGGTAACGTATCTCTCTCTCCTTTTCTTTCTCTTTTTCGTTTTTATTATATCAAAGATCTTCTTTCGGTAAAATGATCGTCAAAGACATACGAGAACACAGTCAAGATCTATCTATCTATCTATCTATCTCTCTATCTATCTATCTATCTATATCTATCTATCTATCTATCTATCTTTTTTTTTTTATATTATCTTTTTCTCATTTTCTTTCTCAAGGCTATCGTCTCATTGCTTTATTTCTTTTTTCGTTTCTTTTCAATTTCGTGCACGTTTAAACCCTTTTCCTTTTTGTTATATCTTTAACAAAAAAAAAAAAAATGTCTACCTTTTAAATATCATCATAATTTTTTTTTTTTAAATCATATTTCCAATAATCTGACATATTATTTTATTATTAATTTATTAATATCATTATTTTGATTTATCATTTCGATTATTCTCCATTTGTTGTCGTCGTGTTGCAACACTTTAAGATTTATTTTCTTATCGTAAATTCAGTTGTTTTTTATTTTTTTTTATTTTAAACAAACAATCAGGCATTCGGATAAAATATATAATAATATTATTATAACAAACATGATTGATCTATCTTTCGAAAGGATACACAAAAATATATATCAAAGACTATGCGATCAATCATTTTTTTTTCCCCTCCAAACTACTCATTTCCTGGAATAATATTATATCAAATTTACTTTAATAATATCTTCATATATGAATATAAAAAACGTTCTTCTTTATTACAAAATAAAAAAAGAAGAAAAGAAAAAACACCAGATAAAAAATACTATTCGATAAGTTTAATATTTAAATGCAAAGGATATTACGTTTGAAATAAAAAAAAAAAAAAAAATGTGAAAATATTTTCTTAAGAACATCTACGTAACATTACACGTAAACATATAAAAATAATATCAATGTATATAAGTATAATGTATAAATGTATTTACTTATTTACTTCTCCTTCTACCATTTTTATTAATTTTTTCCCTTTGAAGTACTTTCTCTACCCCTTTTACTACCTCCACAAGAAAACCAAGGAATACGTGAAAAGAAAATGAAAGAAAAAAAAAATTATAAAAGAAATGATTATTATTATTCAGTTCACGTTCGAGGTGTTATGAAATTTTTGGGTCGCATAGAAAAGACTTACAAGATATCAAAAAGATATAAAAAAAAGAAAAAAGAAAAAAAAAAAGAAAGAAAACCAAAGATACCGTCGATAAAAAAGAAATACGCGTTATCCTTTACCTATCCTCCACCCATCCCCATTCTCTTACTACTTTAACCCCCACACCATCCCTTCACCCCCGTTCCTATTCCTTTTACCATCTTCTGCGCATAGAATCTTTCGTGAATGCGTTGGGATATTGCCGTAAGTCGAGGAATATTGCGTTTTTGTGACACCCATCTCCGTTTTCTGTCCATTTCCATCCCCCCTTTTTTTTCTCACAATTTTATCGATCATTTTCTCTTCAACGTATATATAGGATTTTGCTTAGGTGTATACCTTCGGGTCACGCATAAGTGTCCGAGAATAAGAGTGTCAGGGATAGACTGACTTCCGGGAAAAAAAAAGAAAAAAAAAAAAGAAAAAAGAAAGTGGAAGAATAATCTTCTGGTCGTGCGTTAAAAACAAGTATTTAAAATTAAACGAGCGTTAAACAAGTATATAATTAGGTATGCGCTAATGGTATATAATTATGGGTTAGATTTTATGCTACGAAAGAACATATTTTAGATTTGAAAAATATTCCTCCATGTTTATTTTTATTTCATTTATAATTAATTATTTGTTTTTTTCCTATGTTTTACATAATTTTTTCATTTCATTCCTAATTAATTATTTGGTTTTTTCTTATGTTTTATTTTTCTTTTTTTCTTATTTCACTCCTAACTAATTATTTGTTTTTATTTTTCTTTATTTGAATAAAAACAACTTTGAAATTTAAAAGAAAATCAGCAACGTTAATTGGACAAATTTTCCTTCGAAATTATTTAAGAAAAAAATAAATTCAAGAATAATTGCGAAAATTTATTCTAACGACTAATAAATCTGCAAAGTTTGGACAATTGAAATAGTAACTATAAAAAAAAAAAAAAGAAGAAAAACGTATATATGATAGAATACAGGTATTGTATTTTGACGTAAGAGAACCACGTGAACGAATAGGAAAAAGTAGAAGAAGTAGGATTAACTTTAAGAGAAAAATCTAAATCATTTTGAATTCGCTAAGAAAACTCGTTCGTAAAGGTTTTGGAGAGATCGAATAGAAAGTGGAAAAGCCAAGGAACAAAAGTTACGAACAAAGTTCAAAAGTAGAAAGCAACACCTGCTTAAAGTACGAATTTCTTTTTTTTTTTTTTTCATTTATTCCTTATTTCGATCACGTTGCATTTACGTATTATTTTTTTATTTACACATGCATACACACACATATATATATATNGTAAAAGAAAAGTATTTGATAAAAAGTATACACGCACAATACAATTTAAAAATGTATTGGGATCTACACACCTGTATTGGAAATATCGATTGCTATATATATATATATATATATATATATATATATATTTATATACAGTAAAGTAAAAGAAAAGTATTTGATAAAAAGTATACACGCACAATACAATTTAAAAATGTATTGGGATCTACACACCTGTATTGGAAATATCGATTGCTACGAATTTGAAATTCAATTTATACGTTTGAAAGTTTGAAAGTTTAGTAGACGACGACGACAACGACAACGACTTTAAGCGCCTAGAGAA